GTTTAGGAATTTTAAAAATTATTTTTTAAAGAGTGGAATAGGCGTGGATTTTTAACAATTATTTTTTTAAATATAGATGTTTATTTCTAAATAATATTTTTTCAATACCATCCAGCAGGCTTGTATTAAAAAAAAACATTTTTTCAAGTACTCTCAAAATTTTTAACAAATATATTTTCAAGTATCTTCAACAGGCATGGATTTTTAAAACATTTTTTTGAGAAACTTCCACAGGCGTGGATTGTTATACCCTACACAACTATGTTGTCGGGGTATTATAGCTTTGTGCAGCCCCAAGAGTTTGTAACGCCGCGAAATATTGGTTCTAGACCCACCTTTAATTATACCGATCGTCATATCTCGACTAGCTGAGTAGATCTAGACATGTGTGTCCGTCCGTCTGTCCATTATAATTTGTAAACACGATACCGGTCACAGTTATGGACCCATCTTCACGAAATTTTGCATGTAGAATGGATTCTGGCCAATGAAGAAAAGATCGGTAAATATTTAGAGGATGAAATGGACCAAAAACTTTAGTTTTGTCGGTTTTATGGTCGCTCCAGAGTCCGCAGTTATGGCACGAACATCGCGAATTTTCACATGGAGAAGGTGATCGGGCCAAAAAATAAGCGTGCCTGTTTTGATAAAGATCGGTCAATATTTAGCGGGTCAAATGGATCCTGATTTTTGTGTGAAAAGTTACAAAATTTGTATTCTGGAGCGTATATATTTACCCCTGAATGACATAGAATCGAGAAGTTCATAGTATATCCAAGAGAAGTGGTTGACCTTTAAATTGATACCAATTATATTGTCCTATATACTCGGATGTGGGAGTTACACTTACATATTTACAGGTGCTTATATATTCAGATATTATTTTTAGTAACCCTATACCACAGTAGAGGAGGGAAAGATAGCGTTGATCGCATTCAAATTTTCCATGGGGTTCCAGTTATTGTCAAGGACAGCGCCTATAATTTTCGGTGATGATCAGATAATAATTTTGGGATGAATTGGACCGTAAACTTTTTTTGTATTGAATCGATCTATATTCCACAGTTATAAGCCGAACAACACCATACAACCCACGGTGAAGGCAATCTGGACAAGTAATTAGAAGGGCTGTACTGAATATTAGAAATATTCGAAAATATGTCAGTGTATGGAAGAGGTGCTGTAGACCTCTAATCGGGCAAGAGGGTGCAAATGTCATGAAACATTGTCCATGCTCGGAATAAACATCCGCATAAAGTTAGATTTCCGTGGTAGTTATGTAGGGTATCGTATATTTGCTCCCGTCCGAAGATACTGATCCGCTCACTGGTTTAAAAAATATTTTGTCAAAGGCCGAAAATAGGCGTGAATTTTATACCCTTCACAACACTGTGGTACAGGGTATTATGTATTTGTGAATTTGTCTGTAACATTCAAAAGGAAACGAGATAGACACATGGTTCCTTTTGAGAATATGCATAGAATCACTTTCTGAGTCGATTTATATATGTCCGTCCGTCTGTCCATGTTAAATTGTAACCAAAGTACAGGTTGCATTTTTGATTCGAATTGGCACAGCTCATTTGTTTGGCCAAAGGACAAACCCTATTGAAATTGGGAAAAATCGGTTCAGTAGGTCGATTCAGTAACTTATAACGATCCGACAATCGACAATTTTGTCAACACGTAAAATCGTTTGCAGTAACGAAAATGTTATTCTGTAAAAATGTAGACAAATTGTCGATAAACTTTCAAAAAGCTTTTAATTTTTAACATTTTGAAAATAAAATACATACAAATTTAGAACACAACAAGGCATGTTCATTATTGAAAAATATTTGTCGATAAGTTAACTTCGAATATGTTGGTGTTATTTATTAACAAAATTGTTAACAATTGTTGTTAAAAATGGTTATAGAATTGAAATATGGTTTATTTTGTCGTTATAATATTTTATCGGTTTGAGAATTGTTAAAATTTGATAGTGAATCGACCCACAGATTTAGATATAGCTCCCATATATATTTTCGTCCAATTTAAGTGCTCCGAAGTCCCTATATATCTTCCGATTTGCACGAAATTTATCATAGTGTATGGAATTAAGTCTATAGTGACGTGTGCTAAGTTTCGTGAAAATCAGTTCAGATTTAGATATAGCTCTCATATACATTTTCGTCCGATTTAAGGTAAATGGTGCAACAAAGTACCTATATATCATTCGATTTGCACGAAATTTGGCATAGCGTACTAAATTAAGTCGAGAAATATGTATGTCGAATTTCATGAAAATCGGTTCAGATTTATATATAGCTCCCGTATATATTTTCGTCCGATTTTATGTAAATGGTGTACCAAAGTCCCTATATATCTTTCGATTTGCACGAAATTTAGCACAGCGTATGGAATTAAGTCTATAGTGATGTGTGCTAAGTTTCGTGAAAATCGGTTCAGATTTAGATATAGCCCCCATATAAATTTTAGTCCGATTTTATATAAATGGTGCACCAAAGTTCCCATATTTTCCCGATTTGTACAAAATTTTCCGTAGCGTACTGAATTGAGTCTATAGTGATATGTGCTAAGTTTCGTGAAAATCGGTTCAGATTTAGATATAGCCCCCATATAAATTTTAGTCCGATTTTATATAAATGGTGCACCAAAGTCCCTATATATCTTTCGATTTACACAAAATTCGGCATAGCGTACTGAATTGAGTCTAGAATGATGCGTGCTAAGTTTCGTGAAAATTGGTTCAGATTTAGATAGAGCTCCCATATACATTTTCGTCCGATTTAAGGTAAATGGTGCCCCAAAGTACCAATATATCTTTCGATTTACACAAAATTCGGGATAGCGTACTGAATTAAGTGCAGAATGATCTGTGTTAAATTTCGTGAAAATCGGTTCAGATTTCAACATAGCTCCCATACATAGTTTCGTCCGACTTGAGGTAAATAGTGCACCAAAGTCCCTACATATCCTACGATTTGCACGAAATCTGGCATAGCGTACCAAATTAAGTCTAGAAAGATGAGTGCTAAAATTCCATTAAAATTGGTTCAGATATAGCTCCTATATATATGTTCGTCCGATTTTATGTAAATGGTGCACCAAAGTCCCTATATATCGTTCGATTTACACAAAATTTGGCATAGCGTACTGAATTAGGTCTAGAATGATGCGTGCTAAGTTTCGTGAAAATTGGTTCAGATTTAGATATAGCTCCCATATATATGTTCGTCCGATTTAAGGTAAATGGTGCACCAAAGTACTATATATCATTCGATTTGCACGAAATTTGGCATATAGTACTAAATTAAGTCTAGAAAGATGTGTGTTTAATTTCATGAAAATCGGTTCAGATTTAGATGTAGCTCCAATACATATTTTCGTCCGATTTTATGTAAATGTTGCACCAAAGTCCCTGTATATCTTCCAATTTGCACGAAATTTATCACAGCGTATGGAATTAAGTCTATAGTGATGTGTGCTAAGTTTAGTGAAAATCGGTTCAGATTTTAATATAGCTCCGATATATATTTTCGTCCGAATTTAGGTAAATGTTGCACCAAAGTCCCTATATATCTCTCGATTTACACAAAATTTGGCAGAGCGTACTGAATGCACAAAACATACTGAAATAAGTGTAACCTAACATGTGACAAGACAAAGACATAAAAACCGTAAAGACTCGACAAAATGCATTTTGACAAAATAGTTTATAAAAAAATATCCAGGGGGAATCAGGTATAAAAGAGGCATGTTAACAATAAAAACGCCAATACGCTATAATGTGTTTATAAAATGTAAATAAAATCAGAGATCTGCACTCAAAATATATATTTTTTATTTAATAAGCTTAAGATATAGCTTTAAAAACGTTTAATATTGTTCTCTCTGTTGTTATGATATCGTAACAACATAGGAAAAGCCATCTGTTGGAAATTGTATACGTATCAATTGTCCTATCTTTATACTTTTATGTCTTTGGACAAGAGTCGATGAAATCGGTTTAGATTTCGATATTTTGCTTTTAATTTATTTACATAATTTAGTCCCATTGTAAGATTCAACTCTATATCTGTCCAAAATTTAGTATAGGTTGTAGAATTACATTTTTAATTTCATGTTAATTGACCTTCAAAAACGCGACGTCTGTTAGGATTCCACCGGTTGAATATACCCAAAGTGGTGAAGGGTATCATATAGTCGGCCCGTCCGACTTTACTACCAAAATAGGCCTGGATTTCTCAAAAAATATTTTGAAGTACACACAATAAGCCTGTATTTTTTAAGACAAATTTTGAAGGACCCACAATAGGCTTGGGGTTTTTTAAATACTTAGAAGGGCCACAAGAGACGTAGTTTTTTATGGTCTCGCTTAAGGCGTTGGTGATGATTTTTTCAAGCACCCAAAATAAGTACATAGTTTTGTAAAACATATTTTTAAAGACCTCCAATAGGCTTGGATTTTTTAAAAAATATTTTTAATGTCGTGGATTTATAATTTGTTTTAAGATTTAACAATAAGTGTAAATTTTGTAAAGACAACTTTTTTAAAGACCGTCCGGTAAAATCCATACCTAGGTTTTAAAAAATTATATTTTCAACAGCCGACGATAGGCGTAGAATTAAAAAATCCATGTAATTCCCATATTCTCTTCCGATAGTCGATGCAAGACTCCCTTCACTTCGTGTACACAATAGCTAGGTCATTATAGATAGATAGCCTGCATACAGACACCATATCAGTAGGAATTACATTTTTTTAACATCCTGAATTTGAACTAGGTGGAATTTATTAGTATTTAATTTTTTTTTATCCGAGAAACCTTTGGTGTGAATCCATATCCTTAATTTGTAGAGGTATCCTTTGGATCTCCCTCTCTCTCCATCGGCGGTTTTTTTCTTCGTTCTTGCTACCTTACGTTCTTTGGTTACATTTCGGTTTTCGTATATTTTTTGAAAATATAAATAATTATGAAATCTAAAAGACTTACCTTTAAATATACACCACAGTTTACCCAGCTTAACAAAAGTTCTATTTAACTTTAAAGGTAACAGTTTCAGGTACTTTAAAATTGTGTAGAAATATATTTTTTTGTAATTACTATTATTTTTTTTTAAATTAATACTTTTTGTTTAGCTTTAAATAATTATTGATTATATTTGTTGTTTATTTTAGTTTAAATGAGGTATTTAGTTTAATTTGTAGATGATTTGTTTTATTTATTTTATATAATTAAAAATATTATACATTTAGTTTTTATTGGTTGGAGCGAGGTGGTTTTCCGTTTCATAGGTTTTTCTCTTTTTTTTATTTATTTATGATTAAATATTAAATTGAATTTTATCACTAAATCGGCTTATCTTGTGGATGGCTTTGGTGGCACTTGGATCCGCACTTATATCTCCCCTAGAAGATATAAATGCTAATGCAGTTCAGTTGACTCCGCAGCAATTTATGCTGCAATTGCATTAACAATTTTAAAATCCGTTGCACTGCTGTAGCCGTTGTAGTAAATTTAGCTGATGGTCGAAAACAAAAAACAATTAATAATTATTAAATATTTTTTATATTTATTTAATATTTTAAAATTTAAAATGCGGCGATTGTAGTTATTGTTTGCTTTGTTGTTGTCGAATGCACAGTGTTTCGTTGACTATGGTTCCGGGTTGCTTAGACTTAGGATTGCCGTTATGGGAGGGTGTTGTTCTCTCTTAATTTAATATTGACTGGTTATGAAATTTTCTTTATGACATTTTTCTTTGTAAAGGGCCATAAGAATTTGTTTTATTTATAGATTTCTTTATGCAACATGTTCTTAATGTTTTTGTTGTGATTCTTATTCATATTTTCTTTTCTTTTTTCATTTTAGCATTGTATTGTACCGAGGTATGTATACGTTCATAACAATAAGAATTCGATTTGCCCTTCACATTATTATGCGTCATATTTACAAAAAGGGTAATTTTTGGAAAATATTTTTTTAACTGATAATATTTCATTGAAATATGCAGTAAATATTTTGACATTGAAAATTTTAGTTTTCTTAAAAGGTACAATTATTTGTTAATTTTTGCGGTTTTTTTCGATCACATTTATATTTTTTGGGAAAAGCGGAAAAATATGCGATTAAACTTGATCGGAAATCTACCTTTATGTAGGTGACATTTTTACCAATACCATCTTCTTATATTTAAAACATTTTACTGAGAAATTTTGAATCTACACAAAATGTGGACCATGAAAAATTTTTAAATTGGTCGAAACCGTTTTGTGATAGCCCCCATGGCTATCTCAAAACATTAACCTCTCAATCCTATTGAAAATATGAATTGACCCAATCTCTGTACATCGTACTATTTTCCCTAACTGGTACCACCCCAACATAGTATAGAAATCTGTAAATCTTATTTAAAGGGAATGTAGTAATGCAGATGATTTTTGTGAAACCTACAAAGCGATCTATCCGTCATCTCCGTCAAGTATATGCGACACAACATTTGAAATTGACGCAAGCCATGCATATCGTCCTCTTGTTATTGATATAATTTTGTACAGATGTGCGTGGCCCTATACGATAGTACCGTCCAATATATGGTTCGAAGCTAGATTTTCTAACCGAATTCTTTAGGTATAGTTAGTTTTTGGTATTTTGAGGATATTTTTTTAACATATAATTTCCTGTAATTTGGTATTTGCCTTCTCATAATCGGTACTTTAAGGCACATTTTGCAAGCGAATTCTCATTAATAAAATATCCTAATTCCTACCAAACATTATTAATATTGGTCCACTTTTAAGGATAATCCTTATGTATGGCTACCTCCGTTATTATGGGGAGTTCGGGAACGCTTTCTACCAACTTGGCAATCATTTAGAATTTTGGGTAGCAAACCTTTTTACCAAAAACGAAAAAAATTTTTCCATGGTATTTGTGGGGGTTTGTTTCAACCAAAAATTCCCACAGCATAGGCCGCAGTATATAAAGGTCTCGAACGATTACAAATATAACCAGTGATCGGAGCAGTATAGCCGGACGGATTCGACCATATGGTTCATTTGCTGCAAGACATGCATAACTCAAAAAAAAACTATTTTGCAGAAAATGCGTTTTAAGTTTTCAATTTACACAGACATTACATAGAACAGAGGGAATTCTACAGTGTATCAATTTATAGCGAACAATCGTACATCATTAACTAGAAAATTACGTTTTTTGAGTTATGCCTGTCCTGCAGCAAACACGCGATATAATACCAAACACAACTACCGCCAAACACAACAAACCGCAGAGCCGTATTTCGAACCTGGGCGATACTTCGATATATTTGCACCCTAGAATTCGAGAGGCCAGCAGCTCCCCTCTCTTACCCAGGTATCTTTTCGGAATTTTATTTTTCCGTTGCATCTTGTTTATTTTATACACAAAAGTCGTGGTGCATTTTCCCCTTAATAAATGATTAAGCCAGATAATTTCCCCGGGTAAAATAAAACCATACAAAAAAAAGTTGTTGGAAATATCATCTGATCATCTACCGATTTTTTTTTTGTGTTGTCCTTGACCATAAGCGAAAACTCCTGTCAAATGTTATAACGATCAGTGTGAAAATGTTGCCTTCTAGTTTGGTAATGGTAATACTAGCCAAATAAAAATATGTAGACACATGTAGTTATCTTCGTATAACTCCCACATCGGAGTGCATGCAACAATATAATTGATATTAATTTAAAAGTCAACCACTTCTCCACTCGGGTCTATGTCCTTCAGAAGTAATTGCTCACACAATAGTCTGGGTCAATTTGACCCGCTAAATACTGAACGTATATTCTTTAGATA